TGAGGTGTTATCATGCAATTGCTCCTTCCAATACTCGAGCAGTCCAGGGGGTTTATTGAAAGTCTTTCTTCGTTTATGCATAGGCCAAACGTCATCCTTGGCCCACGCATGCATTCACTAAGCAGGAGTCCTCAAAACCTGTTGAGTGTGCGGCCGCCCTTCGGCTCGGGCCCACGGATAATATCTCGCGGTCCCCCTACGCCTCCCTACGACCTGGCTTGCTTCCCTCTTTGGCCATCCTACCCGCGACTTCCGTTATCACATACATCATGCATGCCTTTCTTTTGTCCAGCCTATGCATTTGTCATTTACACCCCTTAGTCTTTTTGGGGCCTCATCCCACATATACGTGCAAAGTCTTTGTTTTAATCGAGGCGACTGTCTTGGCCGCCTTACGTCTTGCAATTTACTATAGCCGATTTCGCTTTGCACAAACATGCTTAAAAAGTTATTCAAGGGCAAGGGTTAAGTCCACAACTCGTTTGACCTCAGTCCCACTTTCTCTTTGCTGCCCGGCATACCCGGGACCCATTCCCGCTCAATGACTCTTTAGGCTACTTACCTGCACATCCAACACAATTTATGCAAAGCATCCCCCACATGGGGTCAACACATAATCCCTCCCACAAGCCTAAGTTCCCTTTTCCTTAGCTCTTTGTGCTTTCCTTTTCCTTCCTCAGTCCAGGCCAATCTCTTCCCTTAGTCATGCAGTCGGGGTAATGGTTGACTCAACTTATCTTGCTTTAAGTACCAACTCTTTCTAGTCCCTCTTCCGGACTTGCCACCTTCCGATTTCTCAAATGCCCCCTTTTTCCTTTCATTCTTGGTGGCACAAGGGACTGACAGCCCTTCCCTCGCCCACTTTCTCTACCAAGTGAGGACAAATTCCTTTCACCGTCCGTTCCCTGGCAATGTAACACGTGAGTGGGGGAGGGTTAGTTATACACCAAGAGGGGAGAGGGGGAGGAGGTAAAGTCAAGGTTTTTAAAGTGTGAGAGAGGGATGACGACGGGGAGAGGGAGGCGGCGGTGAAGGAAGAAGAAGAGGAGGCAAGAGAGAGGAGGAGAAAGAGGATAGGGGAGGAGGAAGCGAGAGAGAGAGAGAGAGAGAGAGAGAGAGAGAGAGAGAGAGAGAGAGAGAGAGAGAGAGAGAGAGAGAGAGAGAGAGAGAGAGGGTTCTTACTCCTAGTCAACTTATCCCATACTTGTCCCACCGTCCTACCTAAGATCCTCTTTTCTATGACTTGCTTCTTTGCGCCCCTTTGGTCAAGGCCTTTGGTTGGTGAATGAGTTGAAGGGGGAAGGGGGTGTGAGCCATTTGGATATGGAGGATGGTATAAGATGATGAAGGAGGAAGATGGTGCCAGGTGGTTGGCTATGGAGGATGGGTGAAGAAGATGGAGGAGGAAGATGGTGTGAGGTGGTCGGCTATGGTGGATGGGTGGGGGAGAAGGCGGCAAAAGATGATGTGTGGTGGTTGACTATGGTGGATGGGTGAAGGAGATGGAGGAGGAAGAGTGTGCGAGATGGTTGGCTATGGAGGATGGTTGACAAAGATGGAGGAGGAAGATGGTGTGAGGTGGTTGGTTATAGTGGATGGGTGAAGAAGATGGAGAAGGAAGATGGTGTGAGGTGGTTGGCTATGGTGGATGGGTGAAGAAGATGGAGGAGGAAGATGGTGTGATGTGGTTGGCTATGGAGGATGAATGAAGATGATGGAGGAGGAAGATGGTGTGAGGTGATCGGCTATGGTGGATGGGTGAAGAAGATGGTGTGAGGTGGTTGGCTATGGAGGATGGTTGAAGATGACGAAGGAGGAAGATGGCGTGAGGTAGTCGGCTATGGTGGATGGGTGAAGAAGATGGAGGAAGAAGATGGTTTGAGGTGGTCGGCTATGGTGGATGGGTGAAGAAGATGGAGGAGGAAGATGGTGTGAGGTGGTTGACTATGGTGGATTGGTGAAGAAGATGGAGGAGGAAGATGGTGTCAGGTATGGTGGATGGGTGAAGAAGATGGAGGAGGAAGATGGTGTGAGGTGGTTGGCTATGGAGCATGGTTGAAGATGATGAAGGAGGAAGATAGCGTGAGGTAGTCGGCTATGGTGGATGGGTGAAGAAGCTGGAGGAAGAAGATGGTGTGAGGTGGTTGGCTATGGTGGATGGTTGAAGATGATGAAGGAGGAAGATGGCGTGAGGTGGTCGGCTATGGTGGATGAGTGAAAAAGATGGAGGAGGAAGATGGTGTGCGGTGGTTGGCTATGGTGGATGGGTGAAGAAGATGGAGGAGGAAGATGGTGTGAGGTGGTTGTCTATGGTGGAGGGGTGAAGAACATGGAGGAGGAAGATGGTGTGAGGTGGTTGGCTATGGAGGATGGTTGAAGATGATGAAGGAGGAGGATGGTGTGAGGTGGTCAGTTATGGTGGATGGGTGAAGGAGATGGAGGAGAAAGATGGTGTGAGGTGGTTGGCCATGGTGGATGGGTGAAGAAGATGGAGGAGGAAGACGGTGTGAGGTGGCTGGCTATGGTGGATGGGTGGAGAAGATGGAGGAGGAAAGTGGTGTGAAGTGTCCGATACTTCGTCCTACTTTCACAAGCGGTTATTGGGTAGCTGAAAATTCAGGAATGAAAATTCTGAAGTGAGAGTTTTGGGCAATCTGAAAATCTTGAATGGTCCTGAAGTGGTGAAAGGTCCGAAGACCCTGAAAACCACATGTTTAGGCAGGTTGCATCCTGAAGTGGTGAAGGGTGTCCTGAAGTGGTCAAGTGAGCGTTTTGGGCAGTCTGAAAATCCTCAATGGTCCTGAAGTGGTGAAAGGTCCGAAGACCATGAAAACCACCCTTCAAGACTTCAGGATCCAGCCTGCCTAAACAGGTGGTTTTCAGGGTCTTCGAAGCTTTCACCACTTCAGGACCATTCAGGATTTTCAGACATGAATGGTCCTGAAGTGGTGAAAGGTCCGAAGACCCTGAAAACCACCTGTTTAGGCAGGTTCGTTGCATCCTAAAGTGGTGAAGGGAGTCCTGAAGTGGTGATGAAAAATACGATTGTTATTAACCTTCTCTCCCTACTTTAAGCGTCCGACTTCGTAGACTGGTCTGAGTAAACAGTGAAGTGTCTCCCAAGCAAGTAGTGTTTCCATGTGTCAAGAGCTGCAATTAAGGCATACAATTCCCTTTTGTACGTGACGTTGGCCACCTTGTCAGACGGAAGACGCTTGGACATAAACTCAATGGGTCTATATCCCCTCCCGTCATCTTGTTGTAGCACTGTCGCAATTCCATACCGACTGGCATCAGTAGTAACAATGAAAGGGAAAGAGGGGTCAACAATTTTCAAGACAGGATAGTGAGTTAACATATGCTTTAACTTTTTAAATGCAGACTCACAATCTTTGTCCCATAACCAAGGTAATTCTCTCTTGTAGAGTTTTCTCATATGTGCAACTATTAGTGAGAAGTTCCTTATAAACTTCCTGTAGTAACTAGCAAGTCTTAGAAAAAATCTTTGTTCAGTGACAGTCTTAGGTCCGGGCCAATCCCGAATTGCTATTATTTTTTTCTCTTCGGGCCTTAATCCTTCTTCGCTCACAATGTGTCCAAGGTATAATACCTCAGATTTAACAAACTCATATTTCTTAGGGTTTGGTTTATAGTTGCCCTCTTGCAACTTCTGTAGGACCATTTGCAATTGTTTCTCATGTTACTCAAGTGTTTTACTACACACGAGGATATCATCGAGATACACTACTATGAACTGATCCAACCATTGATGAAAGAATTCATTCATAGACCTTTGAAAAGTAATAGGTGCATTAGTCAATCCGAAAGGCATAACCACAAACTCATAGTGTTCATACCTGGTTTGGGAGGCAGTCTTTGTGTTAATCTTCCGGTGCGACCTTGATCTAGTGGTATCCTGACTTCAGATCAATCTTACTAAAATACTTGCATCCCTGCAACTGGTCAAGCAAGTCGTCAATGCGAGGAAGGTGTTCCACGTTTTTAGCAATAACGAAATTCATTCCTTGGTAATCAGTACAATGTCTAAGTTCTTCTTCCTTTTTGGGCACGAATAAGACACGAGCACCATAGGGAGAGGAACTTGGTCAAATCCATCATTTTTCTATAAGATCTTGTAGTTGTTTCTTTAATTCTTCTAATTCCCTAAGAGGTAGATGGGTCCTTTGGGAATCTTACTTCTGGGAATGATCTCTAGGACGAAAAACACTCACCGACTCATTTTATAAGTATCATCATAACGTCCTGTGCCAACTTTTTTTTCGTGACCATACTTCGAAAAGCAAGAAGACTCATACAACAAAAAGACAGTGATGAGTCAGAACCAGACGTGAAACAATTTGATGGAATTCAAATTGGATTTTTCATCCGTTAGATTAACAATATTATCTTTGAATTTGATATCTGGGTCAACCTCCTCGTGCCAATCCATTCCTAAAATCAAGTCAAAGGGTAGGTTTTTCTCTACGAGGAAGGTCACTTCATGCAATATTCTTCTTCCTTCCTTTGTTCGGAAATAACATTTGACGTGGTTAATATATTGAGAGACAGTGATCGTGCTCTTATCTGCATACATAGACGTGATAGGAAGTGAAAGGTCCTTCACTCTCATTCCTAGGTGCAATTTTTTTATTGCCTTTTTTGAAATGTAGCATCGCGTTGACCGTGGATCTAACAAAGCACCTACTCATGTACGTGCAATCTCAACGTCTACAATCACCAGTTCACCCTTAGACTTTGTTTTCTTAACCCACAAACTTTTCAAAGCAATCAATTCATCACCAAGTTCGTTAAGGGTATCGCTAAGAAAGACAGAACACAAAACAATTTCAAGGTGTTCTGAGCGATGGGCCGAAGAAGAGCCATCCCCCGCCATGCGAGTTGGGGGTTTAAAAGAGGTTTCAGGCGCCTTACCTTTTGTTGTACCCTCCAACTCAGGAGGAGCAGACACTACTCCTACCGGTTGCTCCCTTTTGGCTTACGGATGAGGGGGCACCATGCGATGATGTGCCCTGCAGTGCCACACTTCAGGCACTGCCGATTGTTCATCTGTTCCTGCCACTCTTCTCGTGTCAGGTTCATTTTCTCCAAAGGCCTCCCAACTGCAACGCTAGGATGCTCCGAGAAGGAGCGTGGTCTCTTTTTCTGATATCCTCCCGAATTGGTGCCACCCTTGTTGGCCACCATGGTAGTGACACCACCCTTCCCAGACTTACTGCCACCGTTAGCTACACCCTCGGCCTCATAGAGGGGCCACTTCTCCATCGTGTCGTCATCGAAGACGACGAGGGTGTGATCCTGTCTCTTCTGCCTCCACAGAATCCTCTTACCATTTCCTAACCCATCTGATGGACCACTTCCTAGAATGGACGCATAGGTGCCTTTTACCTGTGCAGTCATTTGCTCCCTTTGGAGCGTGAGGTCACAAAACTGTCTGTAATTGTACTTACCGGACTTCGCTTCGGCCACGAGCTGTCCTGCAATGAGTTCAGGCAACACGCGAGAGTAGATGTAGAGGACTTGGTTATCCTGCAGGTTCAAACCGGGTATATGCAACAGACGATCCACTTCGCAGGACAAAGCATCCACAATAGTCCAATACTTTTGACTGATGGTAGTGAGCTCATCAAAGGCTTTGTCAGTCGTCCTTTTATCAAGGAATCTCTCCTTGATCTTTTGAAGAAACTCCCTGAGTGTCATTGTTTTGTCCCACTCACCTATATTTTCAAACCCATCGGCATCGGCCTCAGACGGGACCCACTCCTTTGCAACTTCACCAAGACATGAGGTCGAGAAAGCAACTTGACTTTCTGCCTTGACTAGAGTGGTACTGCAGTAAGTTTGGATTTCTGCAACCCACAACAACAAGTGTTCCCCTCGCTTTTCATTGTACGTGAAAGAAAGTTTCATCTTGACTTTTTCCTTCTTCTTGGGGCGTTCCCCTTCTTTTGCGACTTCCTTCTTTGAAGGTTCAGGTTCTTTTTTCATCAGCTCCTCTTTCTTCGACGGTTCCTTTTTCTTTGGGGTCTCTTTCTGAGACTTCATGCCATCTTTCATCAACTTCTCTTGGGGTTCTTTCCTTTCTTCCTTCCCCTGGGACTCCTCCTCATGCACCACTTTGTTCTTTCCTTTCACTAAACTAGTCACCATCTGCAATTCGGCGGTGACATTGTCAATCTTTATTTCCAAATCGGCGAGGTAAGCCATCATATTCTGCAATATTGATGCCAACTCAACTTTCAAACCCTCCATATTCATATGAAACTTTTGTCTGATTTCTTCTACTTTCTTTGCCTCTTCTTCTTTTTCCCTCTTTTCTTTTTGATAGGCTTCTTTCTTTTTCATTTCTGCCTACAATGCAGCTTGCAATTGTCGGATAGTGTCGTCCAATTTTTCTTCTATCAATTCTTCTTTTCTTTCAGATGATTCCGCCTTCCCTTCTTCTTTGGCCTCTTCTCCTTTTGTCATCCTAGCAAATTGCTTAGCAACAAAGTGATCAAGAGTCATTCGTGCTTGATCAATAGTTTGCCGCACTCTTCCACTGGCTTCCAACATCTGGACAACAGTTTCAGCCTTCTTCATTTCGTCTTCCGCTTCTTGCAGATCGAATAGGCTGCGTACATGTTGTCCAGCCTCGGGGCCAGCTTCTTGCATCTCTTGGAGCAATGCATGAAGACGGTTCAGTATTTGTTGCCGTCGTTCATCAATCTGGCCACGGGTTCTTAAAACTACCTCCTCCTCATCAGCAAAGAGAGTGATGGAGATAGGATATAAGACATGAGGAATGAAACGGGTCAGAATGGACGCATGCAGACAATTCCACACAAAAGCCACTCTAACGAGTGAGTTTGTCACACAATAAACTACAAGATAATAGAAAATTCCACAGCCTCACTTCAATTTCTTCTCCCACAACAAAGAAAATAAAAAGAAATAAATAGGGATTCTGATTCTTCAATTTTGTCTATTTCTAATTCTTTTGTTTATCTGTGTGGTGACGTTCTTATCTGAGAGTGTACAGGTACCGCAACCACGGCTAGTGTGATCAAGACAACAACACAGTTGGTGAGTAGCAAGCATCCACAGAATAGCCCACGACAGGTGAGTAGAGTCAGCCAACAATAACACAAACAATCAATGTGTCAGCCCAACCTCTTGCTGTCTCACTGCAGATAGTCGAGCCAGGCACCATGACTGACACGTGACACTACGACATAACCCCGTGCCGTACCGCCCGTAAGTGCACCAAGTGCAAGTGTCGGTCCCCACCAATCTTCAAGGTAATGCCAACGCAATTCCTCCTGCCACGTGTCACATCCCTGTCTGGCCAACATAGCACATCCACAAAGTATGCCACGTCAGCAACAGTGGCCAGCAAGGTCGTCAAATGGGAAGTCAGCCACGTCAACAACGCACGATTCCGCCAAACCCGTTCGTCACTGGTATGCCACGTCACACTGAAGATACCGCTGGAGCCTGGGAAGCACCACGTCAGCAGGTAAGTCGCGACGCAGGTAAGTGCCATGTCAGCAGGTAAGTCGCGACGCAGGTAAGTGCCACGTCAGCCAATACCTATTGGTCCTTTGGATGCCATGTCAGCACCCATGCGCCATGTCAGCACCCATGCGCCATGTCACATAGGCAATGCTCCCAATGCCACGTCAGCAGTTTCCCCACTCTCTCTCTCTCTCTCTCTCTCTCTCTCTCTCTCTCTCTCTCTCTCTCTCTCTCTCTCTCTCTCTCTCTCTCTCTCTCTCTCTCTCTTTGGGATCGATCTTTCAGCGCCACAGCCAACGATGCTCTCGCCGGTCACCGATCGCCACCTCAGCAACAATGCGCCATGTCAGCAATGTCGCCGTCTTCTTCTTCAAGTCCACGCCATCATCCTCGTCAGGTAGGTGCGCACGCACGTCAGACAATGTTCAGATCGCGATTATAATTGCGTGCGTCTATAGACGCGATTCAATCTGCGCGTGACACCCCTGTACTTACCTTGGTGCGTCAAGCTTTGCAACAACAGATCGCAACGAAGGAGGTAAGCTCCGATACCAAATTGTAATGAACCCAGTCAGGAGAGAAACTCGTCAAGTGTCAAAATACAAGATGTCTCAGAGCTGATAAATGTCTCCAATAATCATGAAATGTGATCTGTAGTACGTCTTGTAGCCAGAGGACGACGCTGATAGGAGGGAGACAAATACTTAGACGGTGGAAGAGAAAGTAACCATCAATGACATCAAAGATAGAACCCCCTCATAACCCACTCCTCCTTCGGGTGTCTCCCCTCGTCCATGTCAGCAAACAGTATCCCAGAATGAGTCTGACAAGGTTCGATCATAGCATAGTGCCACTTAGGCACAGATCTCTCATGAAGACATCACAACAGCGCGCAATGTCGACAACATCATCATAGGTAAGTTTCCTCTCTCTCTCTCACAACCAAACTCACAAGCCTTGATCACCCTCCTCGTCGATTCCCAATCTGTACCGAAGACAGTGTGGCATGCGCCACGTCAACAATGTCGAAGATAGTGTAACAAGTGTCATGTCAGCAACCAAGTAGACAGCTGACGCCAAAAATCAGAGAGGCGACAGTACGCAATGCAGCAGTCTCGCGTTGTCGTCGCACAATGCGAGCGTAGAGCCAGCCTCAAGCCAGCGTCGTGCCAGCGTCAAGTAGTAAGTGGAAGACTGAATGTTGACCCACAGAGGCTGGGCCAATAAGCAGTGTTGACGCAATTGACCAGCCTCTCGTCCTTCAGGCACGAGGGCCTAGATTGACTCACAGTCGATGACCTGGATTGTGTACAGTTCCAGACCTCCACTTGGACCAGATTCTGTCTGGATACCTGCATACAACCAAGTGTGTGCGTCTGATTGGTGGCCTTGACCAGTTCCGTGCAGACTTTGACTCGTGAGCCTCAATATTCCGAGATACAGTTGACTTCGGTCAACTGTCGGGTGCAAGGCCTCTGAACCCACATTTCGGGGGCCTTGTTGCCCATGGTCTGGCGTAGGGCCTTGCTGCGGCCTCGGGGTAGGCCTTGGCCGACGACAGTAGCATATTTGGAGCGGGTTATTGCAAGTGGTTGAACCAGAATCAATATCCGAAGTTCCCTCTCACTGCGAGCACAACCATAGGTCCATCATGGCCATGTCTTCTCTCTTCACCTTCCTGTCACACGCCACGGCTATGACAGACCACTAAGGGCTTCGCCCTCCTATGCAAAATATATCACAAAGCAGCTATGGTCGCTGCTCATCATGCCGCCATGCCTGACTCTGCCTCGAAGCTTCCTTGGTGTGGCACTACCCCAACTGGGGCCTTCCAGATGCAGCGCCTAACAAGGTGAGGAAGATGGTGTCCACCATAGCCAGGTAGGTACCTCGCCACTCTCCTCCTTCGCCGCCCTTCTTCCTCCTCCTCAAGCTGGGCTGCTTGCCATAGCCAGCTGAGCGCCCAGCTCCTCTTCGTCCTCCCAGGCAGCGCTCTGAGACCAACGCCCGCTCAAGCAGTATGTCGCACAACCTTGCACAACGCAAATGAGGAGGAGCTACTCGCTCCTCCAGAAGATATAGCGGCATACTTGCCTCTTGGGCGGTGACTTCCACGCCGTGCGGCCTCCAAGCAACCGGTACCTCCTCCCTTTCAGAGGGAAACATAATTCCAGGCTCTGATATCATCCGCACAGGCCCTAGACTTAGGCTACTTGGACTGGCACCTGCCTACCTCTAGCCTACCGCTACTGGGCCTCTAAAAATGCCAACTTTTGTCTTCTTCTGCTCGGCCTCTAGTTCCCGACACATCTACCACTACTTGAGTGGTACCGCCCTACCTGCTACTTGAGTGTTTTTCTCCCGCTGCTCTAAGTGTCGCGGGCCTACTCCCCGCTACTTGAGTGTTTTTCCCACTGCAACCCTCAAAGTCATGGCCACAGCTAAGTACTGGCCCCGCGGGCCTCACAACAAACAAGTGCCCTGTCCTCCCACACATACACTCAGGCAGGCAGAATGACCAGCAAGCACGCACACACACACAGACTTAGAAAACTCAGCACAACATGGGAATCTCAGCAAAGCATACATTCCAGCGGCAAAACCCAGAAATCAGCAGTGTTCTCAGTGTGTGTTTTGGCGAGTCATTACAGTCGGCCTGGAATTGTGTCATTGGTGAGGAGCAACACTTCAATGTTCAGGGCGAGATCCTGAGAGGAGAGGAGGAGACGTACTTGTTTTTAGGAGAATTTGTATCATACGGAGATTGTGTTGAACTCTGATTTGTATCCTTGTATCAGCGATGTGACAGGGCTTCAGAGTTGGGAGTTATATTGAAGTTTCACTTTGAATTTGATTGTGTAATTTTGTGTAACATGTCATCGTGAATTTGCAAGTGTGTCAGCCTGTCATTTGGGGCTGACCCACCATAGCTGCGTCATCTTTGTTTGTACCTTGAGAGTAGGCTGGCTTGTGTGCAGCATCCAGTTCTTGTAATTCTGTAATCGCTGTTGAGAACTGTGAGGCGAGTTCTTTGGTGTGACTTCCATACATGCACGCCCATATTGACGCAGATGATGCATGAGTGCAAGTCTCCTTCTATTCTCTTTTGTCCTGCTGTTGTTTTGTCCGGCCGCTCGTTTTTGTTTTCGAAACAAGTGAGCACCTGCGCTGTGCCAAGGCCTTACCAAGCCTCTACCAGGCCTGCCCACGTCATCCTTGAATTTAGGGAGGAAACAATTTGACTGGGTGGGATACTGGTGGTTTAAGGAGACGAGACGTTGAGGGTGTGTGACACCATCCCCCTCACGAGTTCGCCAGACAGGTGGATTGAACGTTTAAAGGATTTCACCAGCTATATCCAAGTGTCGAATGTAGTATTCATTGAGCTACTGCAGGATAGAAGAGAGGTGCATAGATCCTGTTGGGGTCAGCTCACAGGTGTAGGAGGAGAGTACTCAGAGAGTCAGTTGAGTTCATCAGCCTGGTGTCCATGGCGTATCATTTGCTTGGTGATATGTATGTTCACCTGTGCTGATCTTTCAAGGTGTATTTTTCGCACTAGGGCATTGTGTGCGAGCCGCGTTTTTGTCAGTTCTACCAGTCTTCTTCTTCTCCTTCTTCCTCTCCTCCTCTCCTGTCCTCGTTCTCTCCTCCTGCTGCTCCTGCTGCTCCCCCTTCCCCCCCCC